ACTCATGGTCCGAGCTTCTCCACGTCCTCTGTCACTCCAACGTCTCAACGCGTTATCACCCCAACAGGACCAGAGCCCCACACTGCCACATCCACCGTGAGGCCAACAGGCTCCCTTCCCCCATCAACACACGTCCCTGTCACCGGCACGGTGCCCTCCTCAACTTCCCCGCCATGGACGAGGAGCACCCAAGCCAATAGCTCCCTCAGGCCTTCCCTGTCACCTCCTTTTGCCCCTACATCGCCCCCGTCTGCTCTGCCGTCCACCCTCCCTGTCCATGTCTCTCCTCTGCCGTCTCATGGCCCCACCTCCAGCCCTACCGCCTTCCTGTCCACGCCCAGGACGTCCGCCAGCACACCCGCCCCCTCCACGCTCTCCTCCCAGTCCACTACCTCACAGTTGACCCCTCTCACCACCCGAGTTCCTGTGCCCAGCCTTATGTCATCCACTGTGAGTGTGACAGCCATTCCGAGTTTTCCGGTCACCAACCTCACCACCAGGCACCCCAGCACCACCGGATTGCTGAGCACTGTTGTCCTGACCAGCCTCATCACTGGGCATGGAAGCGCCTCGTCCCCCACTGGGGGCAATGCCGTCTCGTCTCTCATCACATCTCTCCCCATCTCCCTCAGTAAGTGACGTGTCTCCAGCCCACCCATGACCCTCGGCGCACAGCCTCCTCCCCGCCGGCCCTGTCTCTCCACTCTGGGCAGCAGTCTGGGTCACTGTCACGAGTCCCTGCTTTTCTCGTCCGCTCACACTGCCTGATGACACCAGTACTCTGCCATTGCCTCCACTCTGCTGTGCCCCAGTGTGCCCGCCATGTTGCTTTTTTCCCCAAAAGCCTTCCCTTTTCCTGGGGATAGCAGGGCAGCTGGGCACAGACCTCAGGTCCCGCGCATCTCCTGGTCGGAGCCTTGGTTTTGCCTCTGAGCAGCTGCATGCTTTGGGCGTGTCTGTGCAGGCCTCAGCTATGTGTCCCCAGCTGTGCCCTGGGGGTGTCTACGTCACACCTAGCCCACCACTCCTCCCCACACCTCCGTTCTCTCCGGCCTGTCCTGGGCCACAGGCTCCCCCATGTCCTTGGGGGTTTTCTCAAGCTTCCCTGACGGGCACCCAGCTCCTCTCTGCCCCCCTCCCGAGGTCCCTCTCCAGCACGCTCATCTGGCTGAGACGCACCGGGCCTCCCCCAGGGCACCGGCTCGCTGGCGCCCCATCCCTCCCCGCTCACTCCCCTGCTGCAGTCTTGGCTTCCCTCTGAGGGGACCCCTCCCCTCATCACCTTCCCACTGTGCCCCCTCCGGAGTTCAGAGGAGGTTAGGGCTGCTAGACCGGGGTTCAACTATTCCCATCCTCTAGGATGCAGAAAGCGAAACAAAGGCCATGCCTCAGCCCAGGTGACAGCTGGCGGCCGAGCTGAGCCAAGTGGCAGGGTTCCTGCTTCCCACCGTCAGAGCCGCCCAGGCCTCAGCCCTGCGGCCTCCTCGCCTTGTCCTCTGCCCTCCTATCCCCAGGCCTGCCTGAGCCCACCCTGTCCCCTCCCTCCTGGGTGCTCTGTCCTCGGCCTGTGTCACCTGGGTCAGGCTCTCCTCACGTGGGCCCTGGCCTCCCCCAGGCAGGACTGCTCGCAGTAATGCATTTTCTCCTATGGGACAAGGACTGGGTACATACTGTCCCTAGGAGGGGACCCCAGGAAGCAGGGGGAGGGAACCAGAGTGGCAGATCAGGCGAGGACAGCGGGGGGCAGCGGGAACCCATGGAGAAGCGCCCGGAGCCCCGACCCGGCCACCTCTGGTGACGCGGGGCAGGTGGGGTGCCGAGGCCGTCGCGGACGTGGGCACGGAGGCACAAAGGGCCGACCGTCCAGTCGAGGCTCGGGAGCCTCCTTTTGCTTAACTCAACGTCCACACCGGCAGTCCCTAACGGTGACACTGCTCCGCCAGCTGCCAGGGGGTTCCGGGGGGCTCGCCAACCACGGGGAGCACAGAGCCTGCAGGGGGTCCCCCTCGGGAGACACTGACATCTGCTCGTTGTCCCCCCCAGGTTCTGGGCCCAGCAGAACACAGACACCTGTGCCCACAGGTTGGTGTTGGCTGGGAGGGGAATGGCTGGGGAGGCCGGGGACCCGCGGGGGAACATGCCTGGTCCTCGGAGACAGCCCTGGACCTGCGGGGGGAACCAGCAGCTTTGTTCTGGCAAAGCTGTGAGGTCTGAGATCAGTGGGGCTTGCATGAGGGGAGACGGCCTGGGGTCGGAGGCCAGGGAAAGTGTCAGTGGGGACCCCACATGGGATCCAGCCCCATCCACGCAGTCATGTGTAGCTGGGTCACGGGGCCGCGACTGCCCCCCGCCTCACACAAAGGGCTGTCAGAGCCAGGTACACCCCTCCCGCCCGCTTGAGGGTCAGGCAGAGCCCACAGAGGCTGCCGCCACCCACTCGCCATACCCTGGGGCTGGCGTCTGACCGCCCGTCTCTCGCTCCCAGAGGCCTGCAGTGTGAAGGAGCTTGAAGAGGAGGTGACGTACCAGGGGTGCACGGCCAACGTGACAGTGACCCGCTGCGAGGGTGTCTGCGCCTCCTCGGTCAGGTGAGCTGCTCCCTGGGTGGGCGGCCTCTGTCCAGGACCAGGCCCTGAGCTGGGAACCAGCCTCATCCAGCCGGCAGAGCCACCCGAGAACTCCCGTCCCGTTGCCTCGGGCCCACAGATGCCGCCTGAGGGCCGGGAGAACCCCACCTGGGAACTCGGGCCTGGCCTGTCTGCAGCGGCAGGGAGGGGTGGGCACCCCAAGGCTGCTGCGGCCCTGACCGTGCTCCCTGCCGCGGGCTCTTCACAGCTTCAACACGGACACCAACCAAGTGAACGCCCAGTGCAGCTGCTGCCACCCCCTCGGCTCCTACAAGAAGCAGCTGGAGCTGCCCTGCCCAGACCCGGGGGCGCCAGGCGGCCAGCTGGTGCTCACGCTGCAAGTGTTCACTGGCTGTGCGTGCAGCCCCTGGCGCTGTGGGGACTAGGGTGCAGCCCCAGAAAGGGACAAGGCGGCACGGCCCCGGGCAGCTCACCCAGGCAGGGTGACCCTGACCCAGCCCGACAGACTGCTGTGAACTGCTGGCCTTCCAGTCTTCGAGGGCAGCTGCCCGGCCCCGCCGGAATGGGACCCTGGGGACAGCCTGAGAAGTGGACACCGGGGTGGGAAGGCCTGGGGAGAGGGGGCCCCCAAGCAAGGATGGGGAGGGAAAGAGGCTAAGGTCAGCAGCGACGGCAGCTAGGAGGGGGGGGCCATGCCGTCAGGGGCCAGGGCAGCGGCAGCACGGACGCCGGCCCCGACAGAGCTCACCCAGCATGATGAGCCACCTGTGAGCAGACAAGAAATAAACGCACTGGTCAAGGCAAGAGGCCGCCGTGAGCTCTGCTGTGTGGTCTCCCATGTCCCGCGGGCATTCGTGAGCCGCAGCCCACGAGGCTGGGCTGGGCATCCGTGGGCCGGACAGGACAACGCCACAGGACAGGACCCCCACCCCCCGTGGGTCCGCTCATCCTCTCAGGCCACCTCCAGGGTCCCTCCCTCGCTCAGGACTCTGAGATGCCCTCTGCCCTGGGGGACCCTGAGTCCCATCTGTGGTTGGGGCTGCCCCCTTGTGAGCTGTGTGGTTCATTCCCGAGGAAGAAACCCCCGGTCGCACTTGTGCCTGAGGCCCGAAGCCTCCAGGAGGCAGGACACCTCAACACATACTGGAGTGGGGACGGCCGAGACCGGACACAAGGGCCAGAAGGATGACCCCACGGGCTCGACCGCACACCCTGAGGCCCCATGTAGAGCAACAGGCACGTCACCTCTAACACACCTAGGCTTCCGCCTGTCGCCTAGGCGACCACGCTCTGGAGGGTGGTCCCAACTAGGGCAGGCGCTGGGCCCAAGTCACTAGGGGCAACGGCCAGCATGGCCCAAGGACAGGGCCTCGAGCTGCATGCAGGGTCCTTCCCCACAAACAGCCCACATGTTCCCATCACTCCCTTGCCCCCAAACCTGCGCATTCCCGTCACGGCCTGGCCTCCACCTCCGGAAAGGAGCAGACTGTGTGATGGGTCTGCGCCCAGCACGGTGCGGGGACGAAGGCCGAGCAGGTCTCCTTGCCTGTGCCCCAGGGAGGCGCTGACAGGACAGTTCCACCAAGCAGGTGGCCCGCACAGCAGGGCGGGAGCCCTGCACACTGTCCAGCAGCTTCAATGAAAGCACAAGGAACGTCACTTTGGTGGCTCGGCCACACCAGCAACGTGCACTGCAGGCCTGGTGCTGCTGCCTGCTTTTGTCCAGCCAAGGACCCCGCTGACACAGACAGCACATGGAGGCACCGGTCACCCAGGACCGCGCAGACCGCGGGTCACACAAGTGGGGGTGTCTACGGTGTGGCGGGCACACTGGCCGTGTCCCCCCTGCAGTGGGCAGCACGCGGGCGGCTCCTGGGAACCACATCGCAGCACAGGCCCCATGGGCCCACAGCCCATCTCCAAGGAACCAGGGAAGGGGCTTCGAGTGCCAACAACAGACACAGCTGCCAGCCTGTGCCCACTGCCCGCCCAGCACCTGCCCACTCGCAGGACACGAGCCCCGCTCGCTCCTGAGTTGGCACCTCGGGCTGCAGGCAAGTGGGGTGGCAGCCCTGACAGCCAGGTGACGGGAGCGGCATGCTGAGGGCACGCCACAGCCTGCTGACCACACACAGGCCGAGGTCTGCAGCACCGGCTGCCATTAAGACCCCGGGGAAAAGTGAGCCGACAGCGAACGGCCGCCTTCCGCTCCCTCTGCTGGTCACATTTACCCTCTAGCCACAAACAGGAACTAGTCCTCGGCCACTATAGTAACAGTGTGCTTATCTGAAACCCAAAGATAAGTGACGTCAGCCCTCTAGAGCCACCTAGCCCGTCCCTGCACCACAGACAGTCCAACGGCAGTAACCGTGCCCGCGCCGCGGACAGTCCGACGGCATTACAAACACCCTTAAGAGCACGGTGCTGGGAAGGGAACAATGAAATCTAGCCAGGATACATGGTTCTACGAATAGGATGACATCATAAAAACACAAGTGTTTTTAACACCTAGATTGAGAACCCTTCCCCGAGAAGCTGCGGTCAGTGCCGCAGCCCTTGTCTGCTGAGCTCAAGCACCAGGGCCCTGGGCACAGCGCCGGGCCACACGGGGACCCAGTCACGCGGCTCCTGAGCCTGGCATCACACATCGAATCACCAGACAGCCCAGTGCTGCTCCTCCCCGAGAGTCAGAGATGAACCAGCAGCAACAGGGCAGCGGCGTTTCGATAAAATTTCCAAAACATGTCCATTTTCATTCAAACTTCTAATTTCCCTTTAATTTGCAGACTTAACCACAGAACTGTCTTGATTTCTATAAAAACTGATCCGAGGATCCACGCTCCCTTCCTGACGTGGCGGGCCGGCTGCAGTCCAGGCTTGGCCTTCTCTTCATAACTGCTCACTTGGACCCATCCACGCCCAGAAGGGCCGCCTGGACTGCGAGCGAAGACGACAGGGTGTCCATGTGCAGCAGGGCCATGAGGACACGCAGCGAGGAGGGAGGCGGGTACGCGGGCCTGGGCCTCCGTCCGTGGCAGTTAGAACTGTTCCGACAGCAACTCGCACAGCCTCTGCGAGACGGTCTCCTTGCTTGTCCGCAGCGTGAGCCGGTACATCTGGAAGAGAACACGGTGGGTCAGTGGCCACGCCGGGGCCGTGCAGCCCTTAGCACAGCACTGGGGACACCGACGGCCTCGGCCTCGCGGCCAGGCCCCACCCGGAGCCACTCGAGCTCCCCCTGCTCGGCCCTTCTCTGCAGGCGCCCACTGTTTTACAAAGACTCAAGCACGCAACACGCGTCCAGCAGCTAAAATAAGGTCTGACAGTGGCGAGTTCTGGTACGCAGGAGGAGCCGCTGGAACCTTTGGATGCCGCTGGGGGCTGGTAATTCCAGGCACTCTGAAAAGCAATCTGGCAGCTTCCTGCCAAGTAACTGTGCGTGTGTGTCTGTGAGCCAACAATTCCACGCTAGTGTCACCCCAGTGGGATGAAAACACATGTGTGCACAAAGGCCATGCAGCAGCTCTACTTAGCATGGTCCGGACTGAACAGCCCACATGTCCGTCCACAGGGGGCAGAGGGCTGCCCCATGACCACCAGCTGCCACTAGGACCGGTCGTGGCACACACAGCAGCCAGCACGTGGCGGGCCCCAGGGCAGCTGCCTCCCAGAGAGGCAGGAGCTGACGGAAAGGAGCTCTGGGGAAATGCAGGCGTCACGTGTGCCATGAGCGCACACGTCTGTCAACTCGTTGAACTACCAGACTCAAGACCTATGCGTCTCACTGCGTATAAATTATACCACAATAAAGACAAATTTAAGTGTATTTAGCAGTTTCCTCAAGAGGCCTGACCTGGGCTTGTAGGTTGGGCTCCAAACGCAGGAGGCACCCGATCTGGGTGGTTTTGGTGTGGATGATGCCGGCGCCCACGAAGTTTGCAGGATTAGGATCGACTTCCTCAAGGAGCGCAGAACCAAACCCAATAATCTGTGCAAAAGAAATGGGAGAGGTGGGACATGGGTGGCAGCTGAGGGTGAGAGCACAGTCGGCTCCTTCAAGAGCTCAGCAGTGTCCCAACCTGGGGACACTGTGGTCAGGGCAGTCACCTTGGCTTTGGTGATTTCTGTGTCCATTGGATGCTTCGCCTTGAAAATGTTCTGTATTTCTTGTTGGGGACTGCAGAGAACAAAGACACGTGTCCCTTCAGCGAAGTCAGAGACAAAAGGCCCCCCCGGCCCCCGCACAGGATGGTGGGCTCACTTGCTCAGCTGCTTCCAACGCTGAAAGAAATCCTGAGAGGCCATTTCGGTGGGCTGGAAGAACTTGTTGAGTGTGATGGGCAGCTTGACAGACACGTTCTGAAAGGTGCCCCCATACCTGCAAGCAACAGAGACGTGCTGAGGTCACACAGACAACGGAGGACCTGGAGCCCAGCTGCGAGCCAGCCCCACCCCACGTGCAAACCTCCAGGGCACAGAGAGGGGCCCCCATAAAAAGGGTGGGGCTCCAGCCACCTGCCAGAGGGGGCTGTCCCATCAACAAGGGCGGGCGGGGTGTCCCAGAAGGGTGGCACTGAGCCACCAAGGCTCGCTTGGTCTATCTCTGTGTGCAACGTCATTACACACGAGGACAGGCGCCGGGCACTGGGACTGCTCCTGTGCGTCGGTGGACGCCCCTCCCTCTGAGCGCTGCTCCAGCCCCAGGCCGGCCCCGAGGCAGGATGCCCGGCTCAGGACTTCCACCGCCGCCTCACTCCTCCCTATCAGTCCATCGCCTACAACTCCACGTTAGTTTAAATTGTGTCGGGTTTTTACTTCTTTCCATGGACAGACTAACAAAAACAGTGTGTCTACAGAATGCAACAAAAATTTTTTTAATTTTTCAAGCTTTTCCAAAACTTGAACCTTGCAAACACCCCCCAGGGACTGGCTGACCACATGCACGCTCCTGCAGCCACTGAGAAAGAATAACAGGAATGAGCCAGTGGCAATACAAAAGGTAATCGTTTTTAAAGAAATAAGCACAATGCTATATATGCTCGAAGTATAACTGTGCAAAAACGCACACACGCAGACGAGGACGTGAGGCGGCCCATCGCCCCTGCAGCTGCCTTTCAGAACAGCAGGGCAGGCAGCGGCACTCGGGGCCGGCTGTCCCCCAGCCCACGTGGCAGGCCCCGCCATGTCAGCTTCAAAGCACCGCTGGGAAGCGCGGTGCTAGACCGTTCGGGCCTCGGCGTCCTGGGCACAGTCTCCCTCACCTCCACACTCTATAGCAGGTGCTGCCGTGCACACAGCTGGTGCCGCCCACACAGCTGGTGCTGCCATCTATCTACCTGGGTCCCCTGCGGCCCTCAGCACAGCTGCTGAGGCTTAGGGAGGACGGACGGCTCCCAGGACACAGCCCGCGCTGAGGGTCACCCACCTGAACTGGATATTGAGGACCGGCGCCTCCGTGAAATCGGACACACACTCTATGTTCACCGCCTGCTGCACCTGGGCGCCCCCATCCACTACTGGGTCCACGGGCTTGGTCTGTAGGCTCAGAGGTATCTGTGTCAAGGCCATCGCAACGTGGAAAGT